CGGCTGGGGACGTGGGGGGGTCACACACGGGGGCGGCGGGGACAGGGGGACGGAGGGGGGATGAGTCACCGACCCTTCCGAGTCATCGCTGCGGCAGCGCAGGGCGGCTGGGTCCCCAAAAACGGGGGGAGGGGACACACGACAGGGCTGGGAGCAGAGCGGGGGGCACGGGGTGCTCGCACAAAGGGGTGCACGGGGTGCTCGTGATGGAGTTTGGGGGGATGGAGGGAGCCGGGGGGGGGTCTGGGCCCCCCCGAAGTCTCACCTGCTTGTAGGTGACCCCCAGCTCTGCGACGTCGGGGTCCCCAGGGGGCTCGGCCTCGTCCCCGCTGTCACCCGGCTCCTGGCAGCCCTCGGGCTCCTGTGGCTGCTCCGGGGGGTCCCCGGCCTCTGGGGACACGAGGGCGAGGGGGGGACCGAGGGGGGGCCCGGGGGGGCCTCTCTCACCCGGGGGGGGCGATTGCTGCTCCGTCAGCTCCTCCTCTGTCTCCTCGGGGTGGGTGGGGGGCTGCCGTGCCAGCTCCCCCCCTTTGGGGAGCAGCTGGGGGCACGGGGGTCAAGTGATCCCCCACAGCCCGTGTCCGCCCCACAGCCGCCCCACGGCCACCCAGGACCCGCCCCACACCTACCCCACGCCCCAGTCACCCCACAGCCACCCCCACACCTTTGTCCAGTCCTTCCCCTGCTTCCCATCCTGTGCCTCAGTTTCCCCTGCTTGCACCGCCCCTCCCCGCTGTATTTTGGGGTTCAGCGGTGCCCCAGTGACCCCAGCCCCTCCAGTGCCCCACAGCCACCCAACACCCACCCTCCTTCCCATTCCCACCCCCGGCCCCGCTCCCACCCCCGCGCCCCCCGCGCCCCCCGCCCACCTTGCCCAGCTGGAGCTGCTGCTTGTCGAGGAAGTGGTGCTGGAGGGGGCCGTGGGGCAGGCTCTGGGGGCTCTGGGGCAGCGGGGATGACTGCGTGCGGCTCAGGGGCCGGTGCCGCGGCAGTTTGCTCCCACGGGGACCCCCCCCGCGCTCCCCGGTCACCAGCGGGGACTGCCCGTGCAGGGGCACTGCGGACACGGCGTCAGTGGGGCTCCCCACGCCCCCCGAGACCCCCGGCGAGGCTGGGGGGGAGCGTGGGGGGCCGCTACGGGGGGAACCGGGCGAGGACTGGAGGAAAGTCCGGGGGGAAACTGGAGAAGGGTGGGAGGGAAAGTCGGGAAGGACCGAGGGGAGAACCGGGGGGGGAAACTGAGGAAGGGCTGGGGGGGAGCCGGGCAGGGAGTGAGGGCAGCCCGGGGGTCCCGGGGGGCTCACCGGCAATGAGGGTGCTCTGCTGCCGCGCCTGCTCCAGCAGCAGCACGTGCTGCAGCAGCGACGGGGGCCCGGCCGGGGCGTCCCCGTCCAGGGCCACCCCCAGCAGGCACCCCGGGATCGAGGACGTGCTCAGGAACTTCCCGGTGAGGGCGGCCCCGGGGCGCAGCGGGGACACCCCCGGGGGCACCCCCGGCCGCTCGCCCTCCGCCTGTGGCGACAGCTTGGGGGACACCTGCGGGGACAGCGGTGCCACCGGCGCTCCGCACATCCCCCGGGGGTGCCAGACCCCCGTGCCACCCCCGGGGGGTCCCCACACGGCTGCTGTAGGGTGCCAGACCCCCGTGCCACCCCCCACTGTATCCCCGTATCCTCCCCGTGGGGGTTCCAGGTCTCAGCGCCACCCACCGCGGTGTCCCCCTGTCCCCCAGGGGTCCTCACGTTCCCCCTGGGGAGGTCCAGGTCCCCGTGCCACCCCCCCGGGGGTCCCACCACGGGCACCAAGTCCCAGTGCCACCCACCACAGGGTCCCCGTGCCCCCCACTCACGGGGAGGTGGGCGCTGGTGACGGTGACAGTGGCCTGCAGCCCCAGGGACAGGTTGGGCAGCGATGGGGACGTGTAGAGGCTGAGCTGGGCCCCGTCCAGGGCCAGGGCGCGGGGCTGGGGCAGGAGCTGCTGTGGCACCACGGCAAACACGGCATCAACGCGCGTGGGGACACGGCAGGGACACGTGTGGGGACACGGCAGGGACACGTGTGGGGACACAGCAATGACACGTGTGGGGACATGGCAATGACACGTGTGGGGACACGGCAGGGACACGTGTGGGGACACGGCAATGACACGTGTGGGGACAGGGCAGGGACACGTGTGAGGACACAGCAATGACACGTGTGGGGACAGGGCACACTCAGAGCCCCCCCACACGCGCGTGTCCCCGTCCCTGTCCCCCCGGGCCGTACCTCGCTGTGGATGTTGGGGACAGACGCGGCCAGGCCGTTGTGGGCACCGTGGGAGCTGTTGGGGGAGCTGGGCCCTGACCCGGGGGCGCTGCTGCAAACCGAGGACACTGCGGGACACGAACGTGTCACACACGGGCACTGTGTCACCCCGTGTGTCACACACGGGCACTGTGTCACAGCATGTGTCACACATGGCACAGGGACACTGACACTGTGTCACCCCGTGTGTCACACACTGATACCCCGTGTGTCACACACTGACACTGTGTCACCCCGTGTGTCACACACTGATACCCCGTGTGTCACACACTGACACTGTGTCACCCCGTGTGTCACACACTGACACTGTCACCCCGTGTGTCACACACTGACACTGTCACCCCATGTGTCACACACTGATACCCCGTGTGTCACACACTGACACTGTGGCACAGCGTGTGTCACACACTGTCACTGTCACCCCGTGTGTCACACACTGACACCCCGTGTGTCACACACTGACACTGTCACCCCGTGTGTCACACCAGCCCCAGCAGCCCCGGCGCCCCGCGGGGGCTCTGGGGAAGCAGCCGGTGGCTTGGGGACAGGGTGGCAGGCAGCGAGTCCCGGCCCGTGTCCCCCGGCGTGTCCCCACGCACCGGTGATCTCCACGTGGCGCTTGCGGAAGGCGCTGAGCACGGAGCCGTCGCGGCGCCGCAGGAGGGGACTGCTCCTCCGCTCCGCCACCTTCTGCTTCAGCCGCGACCGCACCTTCAGGTTGGGCTCCGAGGCTGGGGACCCCGAAACGTGTCACCCGGAGGTGGCACCGGCACCCCCGCGGGCGCGGCGCCCCCCGCCCGCACCCACCGGTTTTGCGGAGCGGGAAATCATCGCGGCCGTCGTAGGTGCCGAGGAGGGGGAGCTTGTAGGACGGGGGGGTCCCCGGGCTGCCGGTCTGGGGGGGGGAACTCTGGTCCAACGAGGTGTGGTGAGCCCTGGAGGGGGTGAAGGCGGCAGAGACCCCGCTAGGACACCCGCGTCACCCTCACGGTGCCTCGGGGGGGGTCCTGAGGGGCTCGGGGGCACCTACCAACATTTGGGGTGCTGGGGGAGGGAATGGTTGGGGGCGCCGGAGCCCGGCTCCTTCGTTTTGCTGAGCAGGAACTCCTGGAGCTTCAGCTTCACCTCGGTGCTGGCGATGGCGCCTGGGGGCACGGGGGGCTCAGGGGGGCAGCACACCCCACACCCCTCCCTAGAGCCCCACAGAAACCCCAGATCCCGCTGCACCCCCCAGCACATGCACCCCAATCCCCCCCGCCCCACCGCCCCCGGCCCCCGCTCACTGTCACGGCCGCGGTCCTTGGGGCGCAGGCTCTGGAGCTGCTCCAGGCGCTGCTGCTCCAGCTCCTGCCGCTCCCGCTGCCGCTGCTGCTCCAGCTCCTGCTGCCGGCGGGCGGCCAGGGCCTCCTGCTGCTGCTGTGGGGCGGGGGGCACCGCCGTGGGACCCCCGGCCCCTCCTCCTCGCCTCCACCCCGCTCACAGCCCCGCCCCACCGCGCTGGCACACCCGGTGTCCCCCCAAAGGCTCTGTCACCCTCCATCAGCGACACCCCACGGCTCCGTCACTCCCGGTGTCCCCCCCAAATGGCCCCATCAACCCCAATATCCCGCCCCGTGGCCCCATCCCCCTTCAACAGCTCCATCACCCCCACATTCCGCCCCCACAGCTCCATCAGCTCCAGTACCCCCCCAAAATCCCCTTCCCCCCCCAGACTGGTGACACCCCACGGCTCCATCACCCCCAACAGCTCCATCCCCCCACACCCACGACACCCCACATCTCCAGCACCCCCGAGCTCCCCCCCAGCCCGGCCCTGCCCCCCCACCCACCTTGAGGTGCTTCTGGAGCTGGACCTGGTGCTGGCGGGTGAGGTGCTCGTGCTGCTTCTGGAACTCGGCGAAGAGCAGCTGCTTCTGGAGCTGCTGCTGCTGCTTCAGGGCCACCAGCTCCCGCTGCAGCTGCTGCTCCCGCGCCGCCGCCAGCCCCGCGTCCACCCCCGCCTCCGGCCCCGGCCCCTCCGGCCCCTCCGGCCCTGCCGGACACGCTGGGTCGGGGGGGGGAAAAGGGATGGGGACGTCCCGGGAATGATGGAGGGGGCTGGGAGTTGTTTAAAGGGGCAGTTTTGGGGTGGTCCAGGGTTTGGGGGTGTCCCAGGGTGATGGGGGTGGGGGGGGGACTCGTTTAAGGGGCGCTTTGGGGGCGTTCCAAGGATGGGGGAGAGTCGGGGGAGGTTTGGGGCAGGAGCTCGGGGTTGTCGGGTGCATTCAGGGGCTGTGCGGGGTTGTCAAGGAAGCCCTCGGGGGTCTCCCCCCAGCCCCAACCCCCTGGATCAACCCCCACCTCAGTTAACCCCCCCAAAAATAAAAACGGGGGCGCCCCCCCCCCAACCCGAGCCCCTCCATCTGCAGCACACACCGACCAACCCCGAGTGCTGCGGGGAGGGGGGGGGAAACAGCGACCCCCGCCCCCCGAACATCCCCGGGGGGCGCAGACCCCCCAGCAGCGAGGGGCAGGGGGCGGGGAGCGGGGGGCGCTGTCCCCACGCACACAGGAAGGCGGGGGCGGGGG